CTTCCACGATCCCCAGATCGCTCGTCAATTCAGATGTCTAGTAACGCATTCAGCGGGTACCCTCAAACAGCAGGCAGAGACTACGCGTCGTACTACGGAGCGGCGCATCCAACAAAACGAGCGCGGATGTCGTCGATTGACATGGGCACCAGAGGTGTCTATGATGCTGATGGCCGACTTCGCCAGATGGATGCTTACCCTCAGACTGCAATATACAATCAGGCTCAGGGTTATCCGGCTTCTATGATGCAGGGTTATCCGACGGGGCATGCGGGAGTTCCTGACTATACGGTATGTCGGCCTGTCTTTTCGTTTGGCGGTCACTTAGTCGCCCTCCACAAGGCTACCCGAGTGTCCTTTAGAAGACCGTAGCTAATGCTTGCTTAAGCTGACTCCGGAGCAGATGAGTTACGGAATTCCGGCTTCGGCTCAGGTACCCCAGATGCAGGATCCAAGTGTTCACAGTCGATCGAGTCAACAGGCGACGATGCAGTCTCTTGGGATGGTAAATCAGCCTGGCACGCCGGTATGGACTTCTTTTTCCCATTGTTCATCTATTCCCGATGATAGACTAAGAACAAACCATGTTTGGATAGACAGCGGATGCGACAGGGGCGATGATGTCTCAAGGCTATCCTCGATCCCAGCAATATCAGACCAGCTCAACGATACTCCCTCCTCTGCAACGGAACCGCAACTTTCCCCAGGGGACAAATGGGGCGACGGCTCGAGGTTACTTTGATCAATCGTCTCAAGCGGCTACACCGATCCTACCATCTCAGCCCATGGGTACGAACGAGGCGGAGCGATACGGTTCCGCGCCCGGTCAGCCCCCTTTCGACCATCCTGGTTCGGCGAATGGCACCCCCCGATAAGCGAATCAACGTCCAGATGTATGTGTTCTGATATTGACGGTTTCTTTCTTCTCCTTCTGCTTTTGGTTTCTTGCTGTTCATTTTTTGCTATGGGATACTTGGATAGACAGTTCGGTCGGTGTTACTTCATGGGAACTGAAATCGGCGGCTCTTGGGGATACATGGCGCCTGGGGAATTAAAATGGGTCACCAGGGATTTTATTGCTACGTCTCTTGCTCTTGCTTCTCTTGTCGAGGGAGGGTACTACTGACTTCGCTGTATATATTATTATTTTTTGACCTGGAGCAGTATTATGGCCTGAGGTGGGCAGCCGGTCTTCTTGCTTTGCTGCTCGCTCCTTGGCTCATAAAATGGAAGTTAGGCAGTATGGTACTGTCAGAAATCCGACCCCTTTCGTTGCGAAGTAATTAGAAGTTTGTTGGAGGTAATTTTGGCCCAAGTCTACGGTTTGTGTTGGTGTTGCCGTTTCTGGCAGGATTGCAATTTATCCAAACAGTCAACTTCCCTTAACTCATTTAACTCCGGGCACCACGCGTCGCCTCGACCATTTGTGTTCCTTCCTCCGCTCCCCCTTCCCTTTCCTTCTTTTGATCTTTCACTTGACATCGTCTTCCTCCTTCGTTCCATACTATTGTGACTTTCCACTCAACAGAGCCCTGCTGCTCACCAACGGCATCCGGCTGGGACAGCATGGCGGAACATCTGGCAAAGGCACGAGTCGGATCACATCCAAACCCGCCTGAGATTTCGAACCTAGAAATACGTAATACATGGTCGGGCAATTTCGAGGATCCAGTGGCCGTAAGAATCTCCCTGGAGGTAAGCAAATTCACCAACCTCATCCTTTGAGCGTGCGTGGAGGGTTGGAGGGTCTGCCGCTGATTCAAGCAAACGGATTATATGAGCACACAGGTCCAGTGTCTTCCCAACACGCAGTCTCAGCTTCTGAACACAAAGCACTCGGCCATCTCCCTTATCAGCACTTCTGTAACCCGCGTCCATTCGGACCATTTCGGTCAGAGCGATCAGTCAAAATATGAACATCGTACTCCCAGTCCCCTCTTTGCTTTCTCTTCATCAGTGACTGAGGACGAGGATAATGGAGAGGAAACTAAGCTTGACTCGGGGAGATCGTCTGCTTTCAACGCGGGGCATGAGGTCAGCGACGTCAGCTCCCTCAAGGACGTTGTTGGGTCACCCTGCAACGATCAGGTCGGGGAGGTCAGATCCCTTTCTGATGGAGCCAGCCCTCAGTCAGAAAGACCCCGAGTGACACATCTGAGGACCAGGAGCCTTCAGGAAACACGCCACCGACATGCATCTCGTAGCACTCCCCCAATGAAACCGCCGCCCATATGTCTAAACATCGCTCGATCTGAGGACCGCAACAACGCCCAGAATCTAGGGAAGCGAAGCGCTGCAGATGCGTGTCTCCCGAGTTCCGCATCAGACACGGAAAGTGAAGATTCGAACGAGAAAGCAGTGGAACGCGGTGATGCCTCGCACAATGCTGTCTCTGCCGGCCTTGCTCACAGACACAAAAGCCTAACGAAAAGTCCACTTGCTGAGAAGATGCAGAGGTTGAGAGGCAGGCTGTCCACGAGCTATCGCTCTAATCATTCGAGTCGAAGTTCTAGATCTACATCAAAGATTGATAAGCCAGTCGAACCAGTGCTCTCAGATGCATCATCCGATGCTGGCCTGGGTGCTTCGAGCTACATCAAGGTTGGGGAAAATGACCTTTCAAACTCCACGGCTACTCTTATCGATCTTGCAGAAGTAGCTGCCAGTACCGTGTTGTCTACGGGTAAACAACCAGACTCTGGTAATGGCTCGATCTTGCCGGCAAAATACAAAGACACCGAAGAAGCAGCTGTCTGTAAGGTTCTTCCTACTGATAAACAGCCGGACTCTGTAAATGACTCGATATTGCCGGCAAAAGACATCGAAGAATCAGCTGTCAGTAACGTTGCGCCTACGGATAAGCAACCGGACTCTGGTATTGACTCGATCTTCACGGCAAGAGACATCGAAGTCCTAGAAAAGTCCCTTTGGGAGCACGAGTCTTGGAGGCATCAGAAAACCCGTGTCGATAGCAACCTTCCACCCATGGAAACAGTTCCAGACCATATATGTAGCCAAGAAGCCCCAACTACTCCCCTCAAATATAAGCAACGGCCACTGTTCGGTGGCACAGACGGAGCGGCGGACACTGAATCGTTGCATGGATCTTTGCACAGTGACGAAACCCTCCGAGAATCTCGCCATCCACTCACAGATCCTGAGCACGATAGGATGACCACAGAAGCCCAAAGCCCCATCACAAGCTCGACCTCGGCCAAGCCTGGATCCCCAGAGCCTACCATCTCGGAGCATCCAACCGATGACTCTGAGGAAAAAAACGATTCACCCCAGCCGGAGGTATTTGCTGAACCAGAACTGATTCTCATCAATGACATCTTGTTTGTCAAAAGCCCTCCCAACATAACACCAGTGCCATACAAGATGGTTCTCACCTTGACCATCAAGCTTCAGAAAGGAGCACCACGTGGCTGGAGCTACCTGGTCATCCCGGGGCTGCCTAGGCTGGGAACTGATGAAATCGGGGTCTTGCTCTTTCAAATTCCGGCAAACCACGGGCTTGAGTTTCGAGTCACGAACCTGGGACGGTACAAGATGGTGGAGAATTGCTTTCTGGCGGAGTTAGTCTATCGTGGAGACATTATGATACCTCTTCGACGGTGCAACCAGAATTTCTACGGCATTATCAAAGATTTCACTGTGGACCAAGAGATCAAAGCGGAGATCATGCCTTGCTCTGGCGCCGCGGAAGGCACTCGCGACCGCCAGAAAGCGATTTGCATTCGGTACCAGGCATTCTGCTCGGTGAAGCTTCACAATCGTTGCTTCTGCGCTGAGAAATGCTGTGTGTTACTATCGATTGATGGCGGGCCCGAAGGCTTCTTTCGAACCGAACTTGACACTCGAAAGACAGGGCTACAGGTGGTTCAGATCGCACCGGAACATGACACGCCTCTGGGTACCTCGACCCTACAAATCATCTGCCACCCGATGAACTATGAGATGTTCTGCATAAGCTGGACGGTCAAACTCTCTCACAACAACAAGACGAAAGCAAGCAGCTGGCTTCCTAGAGTCTACCCAGGGCCATCCGGTTCGAATGATCGTGCTAAGCATTATCTCAGATACACTCACTTGGAACGAGGCGATGAATCTCCTTCTAAAAATGCAGCAAATCACCATCCTGGAGAGTCTTCCATGAAGGTAACGCCTGAAGATTCCGAGGCTGGCTTGCAGACACAGGAGCAGCCGCTGGAGCATACATCGCATTCCGAAGAGTCTGGCGCTGCAGATGCTTCTCCAGTAGGGATGATAGACGATGTAGTGAACACTGGCGAAGAGACCTCCCCAATGACGACAGAAGAAGTCACGGACGTCGGTGAAGAAGCTCGTGGAGCAGTTAGTGGTGTGAATGGTGAGGAGGAGATTATACAACGTGGCGAAGATGCGATAGCTGGTTCGAATGAAAGGTACGCGATTCTTCGAACGAAGGGGCTTGTTGTGATGTTTTGCGTAGGGTTTGCTGTGGGTGGCATGTTTACCTCTGTTTGGCTTGACAACATATACGTCAACGCTCTCAGTCGTTCGTTTCGAGGCTCTTCGCAATCGTCTGTCATGCATGAAGGGCGCATTAATTTGACTAGCGAGGTGAGCTCTGTGGCGGCGGATGAGAACCACTTTCAGCAGATGTTCCAGCTGGGCAAGACTGCGTCAGTTGGAGGGGATGTCAATTTGCCGGAGGAACTGACTGAGCAGGAGTCTGCTGATGCAGAGGTCGAATTGGAGGGGTTGGGAAGTGGAACAGAAGAAGTTGGAGAGAAGCAGCAGCCACTCCATCCACACCAAACCCGTTCATTCCGAGACCAGGTGGATTACTGGCTGGGATGGCGCGGGCCAATTGTTCCAAACGGTGACCCAGTGTGAGTAATTTGTGTTGAGATTGAGAGAAGCAGAAGCCGTATCAAGCAGATACCAATTATGTGTCTAGTCTAGGTAGAATATTTACAATGGTCACCATGGGCTTTGCAGGTTGTCTATACCGTCTATACCGTTTTCTCTAGATGCTTCAACACTTCCTCCACTGCCCAAGTCAAGACCTCCGTGATGGGTTTATCCCCACGCCCTGGAGCAACGGTGACCCCGGCATTTTCTCGCAAGCGAGTCCCCTGGCCCACGAGCCGGACCAGCACCTGGGGATCCGACTCCCTCAGCAAGCGGTCCTCGTCCTCCGTTTCCTCCTCCGGGAGCAACAACCACGCATGATCCTTGACATAATTGGGCCAGACGATATCGTCGACATAGCCGGGGGGATCGGTCCAGAAATTCTGCGGCGGCCGATCATTCTCCGCCTCCAAGTCGATACTTTCCCGATCGTCTTTCACCGCGTCACCACTACCGTTACCCTGCTGTTCCCCCTCCGCTGCTGCTGCTGCAGCTGCAGCAGCAGCTGCTCCGTCCGGCACCGGCGCCGCCCCAATCGTCACATACCCGGACCTCCTCTCCCGCCGCTCCTTGACCTTCTCATACGCCGCCGGCAAAAACAACCGCCCATCCATCCGCTCATGGACCTCCCTCAGCGGGTGCTGCGCTGCCGCGGCAGCGGTGTCGCATGGAGGCGCGAAAAGCAAAAACCCTTCCATGAACGCGACCGTCTTCGTCCCCGCATCCGCCCCGGCCCCCGCCCCAAGCCGCTGCTGCACCCGCCTCCGCAACGCCTCCACGACCTGCTCCTCCTCCCCCGCAGCCCCTGTATTGGTACTGGTATCATCATCCACCGGCTGCGTATCATTCTGATCCTCCTTCGACCGCAGCCGCGGCGGCAGCCGTCCGTGCGTCCGGACGTAATCCAGCGAGGCCGCCAGGAAGCCCAGGTCGAGGGCCCCCGCTGTGTCCCAGTTTTGGAGCACCGTGCCGGTTGGGAGGGTTGTGAGGGGGATTCTTTTCTCCCCAACCATGGGGTTTAGGAGTTAGCTTGTTGTGGGGGGGAAACAGGGAGATAACGTACTTATCGTCCGGGTGGTAGAAGTCGTCTTCGTGGATGAGGAGGGATCGGATTTGGGGAGTTGGGGTGGATGCGTCCGGAGGGAGGGTGAAGATGCGGTGCAGCAGGCGCGCGAGGGTGGTTTTGCCGCTGCTGGAGGGGCCGGAGAGGCCGATTATTATGGTGGGTTTTGGAGGGGGCATTTTGATGTTCGGTGATGATTATGATGATGATGTTGAGGCCTAGGTAGGTAGGTGGCTCGGAAGAAGAGCTTGGGGTAGTTAGAGGAAAGGGAAGAGGGGTAGGACTCTCGTAGGGTAACTTACGTGCTTGATCGGCGGGTTTATCGCGATAGCAAGCTGAGGTGGGGCCCGCGGCGTACGGGCGTCGTCTTATCGTTATCGCGCGCGCGCGCGTGCGATTGCACTGACGTTTTTTGCAACAGCACTACAATGTAATTCATGATTGGGTGATTTACATACAGTACTGTACATCTTTTGTAGAAGGTGTTATACATAGTAAGTAAATCTCCATATATGGTACACAGGATACACCGAACGGTTTGCCCCCTCTTGATCCCGTCATGTAGCTCCAATATCAAACGCCGATCAATACACTTCGTTATCTTCGTACAGCCGGACTTGCACGACCACTCGACGACTCCCCCGAACGGACCGTGGGCCGCGGAGACTTGGAACTCCGTGGAGGCGTCATGAGGATTCCCTGCGGAGATACGAAGCTCAATCTCGGCGCCGAGGTCCGTCGCCGTTTCGGGGTGACGATGTCCGGTCCGGAGGAATTGCTTTCGCTGAGGTGTACCGGCACGAGACGCGCGCGTTTCCTCCGGAGCGCGACCGGCGGTGTCTTCGGAGAAGAAGTCGCGGCTGCCGCCGTCCCCGCCATCTCAACACTCGAGACATCCTCGTCGTCGGCGATCGCGAGCTTGTGTCGACTGAAGAATCCGGCAGGGTGCTTCAGATATGCTAGTCGCATGGCGGAAGAGGGGGGCTCGTTCTCCGACATGGGGATGAAGCGCTCGTTCTGGATGATCGAGCTCATTGTGCTATCGTCCAGCAGGTCGCGCTCGGCATGTTGGATCTCACTGTCGGTCATGGCCTTCCGGCGCCGCAGCATCTTGTCCTCCAGGGTGTCCCTCAACACGAGCGTCTCGACGAAGACGGGGCGAGTCTGGCCGATGCGGTGCGCTCGCTTGATCGCCTGGCTTTCGACGTTCGGCTGCCAGATGGGGTTGACGATGTAGACGCGCGAGGCGTTGGCGATGTGCAGTCCGTGCGAGGCCTGCCGGAGATCCATGAGCAAGACACGCACCTCCTCGGACTCGCGGAACAGGGTCAGGTACTCCGCTCGGGTGTCGGGTTTGAGGGTCTGCGCGTAGATCCGGAAATCAATTCCGAGAAGCTCGATCCCTTCCGCAATCCAGTATGCGGTGTTGGGGTTCTCGTAGAACACAATGATTTTCTCGCTCTTGTGGTACTCGGAGATCTGATCCAGGAGGTACGTCAGTTTGGCCGAGGCGGTGGCGACGAGTTTGGTTTTGGCGAGAGGGGAGTCAGGCGACAAGGTCTTCACCAGACCCTTGCTGTAGGTCTTCTTGGGCGATCTACTCTTGATCGGCTTGTCTGGCGTAGTCTTCTTCGTCTCGAAGTTGTCGCTCTCGCTGCTACTAGCGAGTCGAAGCTCGCGACGCACCTTGATGCCTGCGCCAGCAAGCCCGTCGGCCGGGTCGGATGTGTTCAGTTGTTTGGTAACGAATCGCTGCGCGTGATGCGCTTGCGTGATTCCAAGTAGTAGAGGCACATCCTCTACGCTTGTGTTATCGAGGGCCCACATGCTTCGAGCATGCGAAGGAAAGTCCTCGACGAAAACACCGAGTTCGTGCAACTGCTTGAACGCATGCCAGCTGCTACACGCCTGAGCCTGTTCCGCAACCTGGATGCCCTCTTGTAGCATTTCAATATCATTGTCGGTCATCGTATCGCGGTTCTTCTCCAAGTACTTCAAAGCAGTCTCAATCGTACTTGAGAGGCCTTCATCTGAGCCGGCCCACCAGAATCCCGCCTGGCGAAGATTGCTGATAACCTGGCCCAAGTGCTTCCGGTTGCGAGGGTGGAACATGTAATCTTGATCCTTTCTTTCCGAGGTAATTGCGTTGACTGCCAAGATGAAGATGAAGTAATTCAGACTCATTTTGTCGTAGAAAGTCGGCTCCAGCTGCACGACTCGGTTGTAAAGTCTAGGAAGCGTGATTTCATTGTGAATGACATCCAGCCGATGCCGAACGACGAGGCTCTGCAAGGTAGCCCGGAGTGATGAGGCCTTTCGCCGTTTCAAGCCAGGCCCTACAGGCGTCATATATGTGACCCAATTGGCCTGGTCATCTGTCCGGTTCCGGGAGTTCGACCAGGGTTTCAGCTCAAGGAAATCAATCACAATCCGCCGCAACTTTTCCAGATCCTTGAGCTCACCATCCTTAGCCTTGCCGGTCTTCTTCCGGCTCTTTAACACAGCCATCGTCGCTTCGGTCAAGTCCGTGTCGCTGGTGTGGGTCTCCTGTGAGGCTAAACTAACCTCCACTCCGTAAAGCCCGCTGGACGGGGTACCAGACACAACCCACCTCCGCTCAATGCGCAGCTGCTTGAGTAGATGAGCCATGTTCGACCGATGTCCGCTGCCGGCGGCATTATGGCCCTCATCGACGATGATACGCAACCAATGGATCTTGGTCAAGGGGGAAGCTGGGGGTTCAGAGAGGTGCCGAGTGAGTTGAGCCGATTCACCAGCTTCTTTCTCGAAGCGTACCTTTGAGAAGAGGATAATATCATAATGCAGCAGCTCACCAGGTGAAGGGATTTGGTCGCTGTTGTATCGTAGAGTAAGTACCTTGAGGCCTTGCGTATGCATTTCGATTTCCTTTTCCCAATGGCTGACCAGATTCGGTGGAGCAACGATCAACGTGCCCGAAGAGAGATAAAGCTTCTGGGGAGGCGACCTCGGATACGGCACGCCGCTGCGACCTCCGTGCCTAGCTGGGGGCGGAGGTGTAGTATATGAACCGCGATTCCTCTCACACGCCTGAACACATCTGTTATACAAGGCGCCGTAGTGGCCTAGTTCGTCAAAGTGGGATTTCCATGGCAGCGAGAACCGACCGGCGGTCGTCGCGGCCATCTCGACCAGACTTCCAGTCGTGTCCCGGACTCGAGGGTTTAGTTCCTGGTACTCCAGGGGGATTTCCGGGAAATGCCCCCGTGTTGCCAAGATCACCGCCAGACTGATCAGTGTTTTACCGCAGCCCATCGTTTCCGCCAAAATCCCTAGCACATAGAGCGTCAGCAGTTTGACTTCCCCTGGACACGCACAATTGACATAGCCAAGAACAAACCTCCACAAGCCTCCGAATACATTCTCTTCTCCCGCACAATCCGTCCCTCCTCCTTGTCATAGTAATACTCCTGCCCCGTTGGACCTCTGCGAGCCTCGAGTCGAGGATCCAGCATCTGCGCCGGCTGAGCCTCCCGCTGCACCATTGTCGCAGCCGAGCGACGTTGGTAGGGATACAACGGCGTCTTGAGCCCCAAGACCCCTGAATGATCCTGAACGGACTCCTCGTCGTCGTCGTCCTTCCCCTCCCGTCCGCTTGACGCCGGCGCTGGCGTCGTCACGGTAAGCAACTGCTCCATCGCCCTCCTCGCATACGGGTTATCTTTGATCATATCTGCCCGAGGCGCCGGGTCCTGCAGGGTGTTGAAAATGTACCAAAGAGAATCCTCTTCTTCCTCCTTCCCATCCCCCTCTAGATCCCGCTTAGTGGGACCCCAGGTGTTCCAATCCGCGACAAAGTCGCCCGACCACGCTTCCACCGAGCGATCGACCCTCTCCATGACGACCTTGAGCGCCCGGCGCAACGCCGGATTCGACCGCGGCAGGTGCTTGCGCCCCACATCATCCGGCAGCACGTAGACCTGCACCCCGCACCACGACGAGTGTTCTTCCGGGTATGTGAAACTGATCGTCCGGATCCACTGGTGACTCTCCAGGTTGGCGACTTGGGAGGCCGGGTATCCGTCCGCCGCCTCCGCTGCCGGGGCCTCCTCCACACTCCCGTAGACCGGGTTGCGCTTGCGCAGCACCCCCACGGCGATGTACGAGTCGAGCGAGATGTCCGATCCTTCCCCGTCCCTGCCTGCGGTAGCAACAGCAACAGCAGCGGCCGTAGCAGTAGGCGTATCAATCGTCACGATGCTTCGGGGAGCGGGGCATTCGGACTGAGGCGTGGCAGGGGTCGGCGTCGAGGCCGGGGAGTCGACCGATGATTCTAGTCCCAGGTAGAAGTCGGTGGCGGATAGGGCTTCCTGGTCGGAGTCGAGAGCCATGGTGTCATACTTGATTCCTAGGGTGTGTGGTAGTGATGTCTGTATGCCATGAATTCCCCTTCTCCCCGGGGAGAAAGGGGGTAGAAGCAACCGGTCAGCGACCATCCTCTTTTTCAAAGTTGGCAGCTCCGGCAGGGAGAGAACAATATAGCCTCCATGTCAATAGGGTGTTTTGAACATACCTGACAATCAAGGGTATCGACAACAGGTGCAGATGTCACATTAGCAATTTCATTTGCGGTCAGCATAACAACGATAAAAGCACCTGATCTTGCGCGACCCAGGGTGTTTGTTGTTGTGTGTTGATCCGCAACTAGGGACCAAGCCAAAATCTGGTCGGCGGCGATCTCACTGGCCTGGGTCAAGTCCTTCACTGGGCATAACACACAAAGAAAATTTCTGCGGTCTCAAACAGAGAATAAGAGTAATGAGGGAGGAAGACCACAGAGCCGCATTAGCCCCTGCAGATAAGTGGATCATATATACTGTACTTCGTACAGTACCTGAAGGTGGTACGTGGTAGTGGTGGGTGACCCCGGGTTTGCAGCTCGATGCATCATCGATCGAGGGTCGGGGTGGAGGATCTGCCGATAAGCGCCACAATCGCTTCATGGTGATTGGGTAGCACGCGTCACCGCCCTCTTCAGTGCCGGATAAGGTTATATTGGCTTTGTAAGGTAGTACCTCACTAACTAACGAACTAACCTAGGTAGATCTCTGCCTGAGGCAACTTACGGCTTCGATCTTGTGTTACCTACTCCACTCCACTGTGAACTGCACCCCACCAACCGTCCTTCCTGACACGTTCATATGTACAGTACATCCAAAAGATCGCCTTCTTTTTTGTTGACAGATGCTTCAGGATATATGGCTTGCCAAGTGCCCCTCATGAGGGTTGATAGAAGATGTCAATTTTGTTGTGAAATTTGTATACTTTATACATCTTCAACATAGGTGAATCACATATATTATCAAATGTCCTCCGCGATTGAGTACGCCTCATTTTGTTGAAGATTATCAGAGAAAGAACCTCCCGGATCCACAGCGCCACATGACCCACGAAAGATACATTGAAGGTGAACAACAAACCTATATAAGATGGGCATCGAGCGCTGAAAGTGAGAGCCTGGAAATACTACATCCAGGGCGGGTAAGTTATCAGAAACTCAGTAATGGCTAGAAAAAGATACAGAATCGATCATTGCGTCAGGAAATCCTCGATCTCAAAGCTTACTCTTTTCAAAATTTTCTCCTCCATCTCCTTGGACGACGACGCCGCCCGTCGCACAACGATCGTTCGCGCGTCCTGCAGGCGGACCTCTACGGGATTGCCTCCGTATCGGTCCAGTTCCTCCTTTTCGCACTCTCGGATGTAGACTGTGATGTCGGGCCCTACGCAGGCACGCCAGAGAGAGGCCATCCACTGCCAATGATCCAGTGGTGCATACGAGTCGCCTATCTGCACGGAGCATGCAAATGCGTCCGCAGTGGTCAGTTGATACCGAGGAACAAGGGCAACTGGTACCCGGTTGGTGTTGATTTCTGTCGGAGCCACCGACGGCGACTGGCCTTCCGCCGACGGTTCAGGTGAATTGATCTGCATTTCGGCAGTCTTTGGGACTATCGTTCGAGGTGACACGCCCGTGGGCTCTTCATTTTCGGACTTGGGCTCGGACGAGGCCCGCACCGGCTTGACAAAGTTTATGATCTTGTCGGAGATGCGGTGCCATTCGGAGATGATGTTGAGGTAGTCGACTGTCGCGTCTCCCATCTGATCCGAGTCGGAGTAGCTCTTTCGGGGATTGATATCCGGTCCGGTGAAAGTGTGGGTCTGATATCTACCTTCCTTCTGCAGGGTGTTGTTGAGATGGTCAACCATTGTCTTGACCAAAGCTGGATCCTGCCCATCCACCGCAATCACGGCTCCCCGCCGGGGTGCCGCGTTGCCGTGGTATGGGGGGGCGAGAGGAGGCGATATCTTAGCAAGGACCTTGATCTTATTGAGGAAGGGGATCGTCATGACCGTGGCTTCGAGGGTAGATCCGTCCCGTGCAAAAGGGGTCATCGGGGTCATAGCTCCCGGCTGAGAAGAAATAGTAGTGGTCTGCAGGGGAGGGAGTTTGAGGCTAGGGTCTGGGGGGGTAAAATCCTTAACATTTCGAACGGGTCTCTGAGGTGGCGCCAACTGAAGAAACCCTCTTGTATCAGAGACAGTCGAGTGAGGTGTGTAAGGAGAGACGGGATATGCAGAATCAGGGCTCCGGTCACGTTGAATGTTGTTTTCGAAAGAAACCTGGGGATTAAATCGGCGGCGCTTGCTATCCGGAGACCGGCTGCCACTCTCCTCAAAATGACGCTGACGAGGTGACTGTGACTCCCCGGTGGGAGCGATCCGGACCATACTTGGGGCTCGATCCATGTCTTTAGACCGAGCCTGGCTGCTGCGCACGGCGACAGTCTCGACCTGTGGGGAGACGCTATTGAACCCCGAGGTGCTGGGGGTAAAAGGCGGCGCGTCCGGTGATACGGGCGGGTTCATAACTCGGCCACCGCACCGGCTGCAGACCGTGGAGCCGGGCGGGTTATGGCTGATGCCAGAGCTGGCATTACGGGAGTTCCCATCGCGGCCGTAGCGACGAGGCTGATATCTGTACTCCGGATACTGCTGCTGATGGCGGGCTTTCTCCTCCTAAACATCACTCATGTTAACAAGGAATGTTCGACCGACCCAAGATGGTAAATCTCACTCACCTCTGCTAGAGCTTTCCATGTGTCTTTGGTGTCCTGGGGCAGTTTTCTCCACTGCTCCCCGATGATCTTCGAGATTTCAGGGTTGGCTAGCCCCGGATGTTGAGCCACGACTGATGCTTGCCAATGTTGACGATACAAGATAAATGCTGCATTCATTTGGATCAGCTGATCTGCATATGGGGGTACGATAGCGACAGCTATCCGTGCGCCTGAAGCTACATACCGTTCCTGGGTCTGGGGATCTTCGGATCTGGCTGACATAGGCAAAAGTTGGCCGCTGATTCTCTCGTGGTCGGAGCCGAGGCTTTGACAGGGCTGGACGAGGATGAGCGCTCTGATACGGAAGACCGTTCGCGTAGAGGGATCGACTTGGTGCCCAAAAAAGTCGGTGGTTTCGAGGCCTCCAGGGAAGGTACAGTTTTGTTCATGGCTATCTTGTGCCGATTGTGGGCCATATGCGTATGGGTGAAGCTGTCGGCCCACCGGCGAGGTGCTACGAACGAAGCGACATCGCGATGGTGATGGTCCATCACAGGCATTTTCGAGTAGCCGTCGTTCATGATCTTATGGTCAAGGAGACTACCGGTTGATGGAGGTAGCGTGGCCAAAGAAGGATCATATCGTAAAGCAGGGGGCTTGGGAAGAACTCGATCAAAAGCCATTTAAGAAAACGCTGTAGAGGGGGTGGCCGACGAGTATCTTAAGGTGAGCAAAGGAAGGGCGCGTGTAGTTGGTGATTGTGGTTCAGCTGGAGTGAAAGGACGGAACGACCGCTGAAAGAGAGCAGAAGGGGGGTGGGAAAGAATTATAGAGGATAGAATTCGGTATTCGAGACGAAAGAAAGGAATAGAGGCGAAGGGAAGTTTAAGCTGATGAAAGAAAGACATGCACATATCAATCAATCAATCACAAAAACAAAGGGCTGAGTAGGCTAGAAACGAATGACTTTGCCTCGTGGTTGGGAAAGTTGCTGCTGGGCTGGCAACACACTCGGTATTCACAAATTCACAAATTGTAGTGGAAATAATAATAATCAGGAGGACAATGATAATGACCAGCCTGACCGAAAGAATAATAATAAAGACGATAGTAAATAATAATGAAAATAATAAGGATGACGAGAATAATACCAATAACGATGGGCAAGGGACTTGTGTTTCTTCTTTTGTTTTCCCTGGGCGTCAAGGATAGGGTTGGTTTGCCTTTGCGTTTCTTTATTGTGGAAGCCTCTTCGAATTTCTTTCTTTCTTTCTCTCTCTCTCTCGCGCGTCCGAATTTCAATCATGGAGGGGAGGGAACTTCTGACAATGAATAAGAGGACGTTCCTATTCAAACCAAACCTACCAAAAGGGAGGGCGCCGGGGAAGAAAGCCGGAGGGGATTTGGCTTTCTGAAGTGCTTTGTTATAAGAGCCGACTATCTTTGGACCCGGTGCCTTAACTTTTTTTCCCTTCCCTACTACGTACGTCTTAGGTCTTAGTCTACCTGAAATCACCTAATTCTGGAACCAGGGTTTCTTTGTCTGTCTTCGCCAGGATAAGCCGAATAGCCCGGCCTTAGTTGGAAATCTCCACCACACAAGATAGTTTGTTTCTTCTCGAGATCCAAATGGAACCCCAAATCTCATCAAGTGGGATGCAGGTTGCCATACTACAATGGAATAGAAAGAACACCGCAATGGGTAGTCTGTGGGCTGCCGGAAGGTTGACATCATAAACAGATTATATTGGATGATTGAGAAGGGAAGAGAAGAATTGTTACTAGGTGGAGTGGTAACAAGGGAGATCGATGGGATGGGATAATGACGGTATTGACTGTCAACAGGGGGAAGGGAGGGATGAGGATGATTGAGTCATCCAAGTCACCTAACTAACTTGTACAAGCAAACAGAATCATGTCAGACTAACTCGAACCAGAAAGGTCCAGTGATGACCTACTTACCAATTTCCTAATCATCTATGATGAAGGTGATATTTAAAGAGGCCGAGCCGATAGTTACTACAGGATGGGGTAGGTATTGTTCGCAATGTTTCCTTTGTTCTCGGGGAGTCCGCATGCGGTGGGCGGCTGCCATCCGAGGCCAATCACATCCACATCCACGCCCTTTTCCCCACCGCCAATGTGACACCCGAACTTTAGTGCTCATCAGGTCTAATGAGCTCGAACTACGGTACTCTTGGGGGTTGATTGCCCCCCCCCCCCAAACAAGTGTACAGTACCTTGTACAGTACTCCGTACCTTTCCTTCTTCAGTCTCACTGGACCTCGGGTTAACTACTGACCGTACTCCTGACAATGGAGTAGCAATCAGCTAACATAATCCCTGAGGTATAGGTATACACTAGATACATTACTTTTGAAACAAGATATCATCAGAGTCCTCCATTTACACCCGGACCTAGCGTCATACATATGAGTATTCTTGTACTGTATGTACTTCCATTCCAAGTTACTACTGTATCTACGAAGTACACGCAAGAACCAGATCTAGACCGTTCGTAAACCCCCCCCCCTCCTAAATCGCTTTTCCCCAGGTACCGGTACCTGGGCCTCGGGGCTAAGCAGCTAACAGAAAGCTACCCAGTGACAGGCCAAGCGGAACTAGCGGTCTCCCATCCGGGCTCAGCGCTCTGCCTATTTTACCCCCCTAGGAAACAGACCGCGACAGATAGTTCATTTGCTTGAGCTACGAAGTTCATCAGCTAGTGACTGATCGTCCCGAGACTGTCTGACAGCCGCTCGCACCCCCTCTTTTTGATTCAAACAAAGGAGCAGAGCCAGCAAAGATCATAAGTAAGTTTGAACTCTCAAATGTACTCAGAAGTGCTTGTACGTACTATACTTCTTAAACGAGACAAACCACACCAATGATAGTTCCCTTCCCCCTGTTCTTTCCAAACCCACTCCTCCTCCTCCCCCCCCCTCCTCCTCCCACTCCCCTACCCAACTACTTTCCCCTGTTGTTCCCCTCCGAAACCATGTTCAACTTATCTTGACTTTCCACAAAGAATACTACCTACCTAGTACCCACTGAAGTCACTTTTCATCTTGCATCATTCTTGATCAGCTTGAATCCAGACTCCTTCCAGGCCTTCGGGGAGGATATTGGTTCATTGATACGTTGAGGTTGCAGGACCCAGTCAGTTCCCTTCTCTAAATCGGTGCTGATTCAGGTTATCGCATGCCGCACCCATCCCTGGCACACCTCCCCAGTAATTCCAAGTCACGTTACAACAATCCTCCACCCGACTGACTGAAGCGGACGTCACGGATACCCTCTGCTGCTTTTCTTCCCGGTCTCTCAATGAGACATACCACCTTGCCAATCCCTGATTCAGATCTGAAGCCGTGCCTGAGACCTCTGAACCCTGTCAGAACTCGGTTCAGCTGCTATCTCAACCCGGATGCTAGTGATGATATCCGGTACCTTCCACTGGTGACGCCAGAAGACTCAAGTGGTCTCACTCCAGCATCGCCTGAACTGCGATCGTGTGCAGGCCCGACGATAGAGAGCTGAGCCCAAGACTTCTTGGTCGCCTGTTCCGTCGGCGTTTGATGGTTTCGGGAACAGGCCAGTGTTTACCAGTCATCCTCTACAGGTCATCGCTCCCTGCAGAGCGAATTACGACTAAGTGGCATTGGCCAGGATCCCATCAAAGGAAAGTTGAAACATTTCTTTGTGTGTCTTGCTCTTTTTTTTTCTGTTCTCTGTCTGTCTTTTTTTTTCATTTGTGTCTGGTGGGTTTCTTTCCTTTTTGTTCGTGTAAAGAACCTTACCGGAGCCACATCTCCTGGATTCCGTGAAAGACTTCCATGCCCAAAAGTCGGTGCGCGGACGGTCCCAAATGCATCTCGTTCCTGAAGGGAAATTGGTCAGCCTTTCCAGTCGAGTCATGAGTGCCAAGGATAATGCCTTGTTCTTACCAAAACAAAAACTTCTCCGGACGGTCACACTTCTTCGTCTCTGATGTCACCATCCATTGCTGGCTGCTCTGGACGCATGCGTCTTCTACGTTTTCCCAGCCAGGGTCTTCGTTCTTGCCCAATCCATTGGTCTCCTCGATCCCAGCAACGAAGAGCTGCCAGTCGCGGATCTGGTCGGCAAGGAAAGCATTCGTATCGAACAGATAGATCGTGCCATTGCCCCAGCCATCCGCTCTCTGTCGCAAGTGTTGGTTCCAATAGTCGGACATGCTAATGGCGTCTTTCTGTTTCGCCTGGTGTTGTTCGGCCTGGACCCGGAATGCAGGCAAGAAGGTCACATCCGGGGCCAAAGTCAGGATAAGTTTCAAATCGTTGTGGCCCCAGAGCTCCGCCAGCAGATTGAGCTGATCCATGATCACGTCCAGCGTATTGTCGATCGATTGGGTCGCTTCTTTGTATGTCTTGCCCACAACATTCCACAGGTCCCACACGCCAAAGGAAAGGATGACAATGGTCCGATTTTGACGGGTGCCGATCGCTTCTGCACTCATCGCCTGCATTACTTCTGTCTCGGCCGCCAACCAATTGCTGACCTGGGCCTTTAGGTCGGCCAGGGGAGACTTGTATAGGTTGAGTAAAGAGCCCGATAGCTGTGAGTTATCCACGACCGAGCCAAAGTAATTTCCGCTGTAAGACTTGGCGGTCTCGGCCAAGTTCTCATGGTGACATGAAAACTACCAGGGAAGGGATGATTAGCCTGTCATACCTAGTGGGATGGGATCTGATCTCATAGCACTGCACTTACCGAGGAGCACAGCCATTCGGTCCAAACCGACCCTTGGATCTCAGCGGCATTATTGTCGCTCCATGAATCCCCAAAGACAACTAGACGGCGGTCAAATGACGCTGCCGGGCGGAGCTTAGCCGATGGTTCATCGGCCACGACCCGGCGATAATAGTGCTGAGAGGCGAGGAATGAGGCAGAAAGCAGGATGCTGCATATCGCCAAGGCACAGACGGCGTGGAACTTGCTAAAGAGGCGCATGAGTACGGGACATCAAGGGCCGCGAACAAAGGACGGCGGCGAGTTTGCGACAAAGGTGGTGAAGGCTGGCGCGCGGAGAAGCCGATAGACACTCGAAGCGACCGGCCGATGTCTTTGTTGCGTTGCGGGCGTGTTCCAGCCGACAAGGAGAGCTTGCGCCGCTTTTTAAGTTTCAGAGGAAGTTGATCAACTTTCTTGTCTGAAGCAAGAAAAACGAAGAATACGAGGAAAGCCTAGTATAACAGAGTAGAGAAGAGTGACGAGAGAGAAAGAGGAAGAGGAAGAGGAAAGTAGTAAACTAGTCGGGTCTGTAGGGGATCGATCTGCTGCGCCAACAACCAGCCAGCAGGGACTTTTTCCTGCTTTTTCCCCTAATTTAACAAGATGGGAGGGGGACCCGACAAAAGACAACGACGTCGTCTTCCGGTGGTACCGCCGACGGTAAGTTAGCGTGGCGATAGACAGCGAGCGAACCCGGATAAAGTGGAGACGTAAGACTGGAGACTGATTTTCTGTGAGGGTTTGAACGAGTACGATAATTTTGGGTGTGGAGGGGGGGGAAGAGGGATAATCGGGGAAAGGGGAGAGCAGAAGAGCGTAGTAGAATTGAAAGGGGAGAAAAGAGAGTCAAAAGGTGACCGAGAAGAAAGTGCTTCCTCGCCCCCCAGAGTTCAAGGGATTGATTACGAGTATACTATTCTAGTTCTTCAGGAGTAGTACTCTATTGGGGAGAAAATGGAGACCACGATGATAACCATATCAGCATCATTACTGCTGCGGCCGCCGCTGCGGCCGCCTCATGGCCGCAATAAGGCTGTCAAATCATCTTCCAGTGGCCGCGCGGCGGGCTTCGGAACGGTAACCAGTCGCGTGCTCCAG